ATGTCCGGATCACCGGACAGTCCGGACCGGTCCAGACACTGGTCCGGAAGACAGTCCGGAAGTGTCCRGTGTCCGGGTCCGCCGTTACCATGAAAAAAATCCGAGCAAATAAAAATCCCGAGTTTTGCAAGTTCACTAGGTCTCCCAACCTCCCTTGAAGTGTGAAATTATCAATGAGAATTTTTTTTCAAAATTTCAGACTGTCAATGATTATCAGGTAGTGAAAATTATAGAACTGCGAATAAGAAAAATGCCGAAAAGAAATAACAAGTATTCGGACTTACTCAGATGAGAGTATTCGCAGTTTGGAAAATGGTACTGCAAGAGGGATTTCCTGTACCGCTTTTAAGAAAAACGGATTTCGGAAAAAAAACATTTCGAACTTCCAAATAACGGGCAATTGCAAAAGGAAATCGAAATTTTTGAAAAAAAGATATTCCGGATTTTCTAACAACGAAATTTCGAGTTTTCCGAAGAAAAACGAAAACGGAAATTTCAGATGTTGCGCTATTGCGATTTTCTACAACAGAAATAGCGAGAAAACAAAATCCAATAATTTTCTTTTTTTCAGTTTTCGGCAGTGAGGTCAAAATCGTGATTTTGGGAAACACTAGTGTGCTCTAATCAATCAATCAAGACTGATCATCTACTGAGTCCCCGCACACGTGTCAGATCAGGCTGGACACCAACTGTTACATGCCCACTTGGGTGATGTACATAATAACCGAGGATCCACAATGTGATAAAAAGGACTGAATGGACAATGCAGTGCAAGTGAAATCTCAACAAGCAGTGTACATTCTGATACATACAAAAATGGCGCTTTATAGCGCAGGGAAGACTTAGATACAAGTCCTGACCTGACCGAGACTGACCTCTATCACGTAGTGCAAGATAGCGTAGCGGAATGCTAGAATATCAATGACTAGCCCAATCAATGTTGCGACACAGACCAAACACATACATCATTGTCATCACAAGGTGTGAAGAGACCTGGCGCTATACACAGGAAAAAGGCGCCAGACCCTGATCATGCACAGACGAAGTGGAGGGGAACAGACGAAGAAGAGGGGGAGAGATGGGAATGTCGTCAACACCAAGTCTTTGTGACAAGTCCCAAATAATCCCTCGTCAAAATGTCTGAAGCCCAAATCTCGCGTCTGGATTTAAATGTCACCAGACTCTCTCTTTCTCTCGTAGTCTGCTGATGCAGTGAAGTCAGGTAGCGAGAGGGTGAGAGGGAGATGTTGGACTGAGAAGAGGAAGAAGAAGAACTCTCTCTCTCTCTCATATGCCAGGTACTAACCTGTGAAGACGGCGCTGTGCTGCAGGTACCTCGAAGGCGAAGCTGGAGCTATGGCGCTGCAGGTAAGTATCCCTGGCCTCCGCCCAGTCTCTCTCTCTCTAACACTACTCTAGCTCCTATGGCGCCCAGCGCTGAAGTCTACTGCTAATGCTACTAGCGCCCAACGCTGAAGACTACTGCTAGCGCTACAACTACTGCAGCGCTCCTCCAGAGTGCTGCTGCCGAATCCTGAAGACTACCTCCTGCCTCCTGAACTGCACGTGAAGTGCCTGGGAAGTACCTAGGAACTACCTGCCTGCCTGCAGGGCGGGCCAGTCCTATATAGTGCTGGCCCCCGTCCAGGAGGCTGCTCTTGCCAATGCCGAAACGTGCCAGACCCTGGCGTTGAAGCTCAACCAGGGGTTGTCTTGAAAACAGGCCCGAAATGGCCTGTGCTAAAACCCTGGTTTGTTGTCTGAGTTTCAGGGCGGGTCAAACTGATGAGGGCCTGAAAATGGCCCTCAGTTTCAGGCTGAAAACACTCAGGGCCAGAAAGGCCCTGATTTAGCCTGAAACGACACAGGGCCTGTAGGCCCTGTTTTTCAGGCTTTCAGGCTGAAACGACACGGG